TGCGGTCTTTGGATGGCATCACTCACTCCGAGTCCGAGTCGACCGAAACGGTTGGCACCGAAGCCGAGGACGCGGTCATCGGCGGTGACGACAATCACTTCTTCGCCATCTCTGCCAAAAACGGCCAATACTTTGATCCCTTGTTTGTGACCATCGCTTGTGACCACCGGTTGACACAAATCGGCAAACGTTTGCAAAACAGACAAACAATCCATTCATTCATTCAATTCATTCATAAAACAAATCAATTATTGTTTTGAAGTCAAACACAATGAGAGAGCCATTCATTGATTACGTAACCAAACAAATAATATGACATAACTTTTTGTCCCCTTTTGTGAGCGTTTGGCAGTTATTTGAATGTAAAAAACACAAAACCCTTGTATTAATATTGTGTCCGTTATTAGTGTTTGACAAACAAGTGATTGATATTTCAAACAAATTGGTTGACCATTCATAACATCACTTGATTTGATCCAAAGATATGGCACAACAGTTGACACCAATGATGGCATCACTCGACACCATAGATGTGGGCGAAGAGGCGGACAGACAACAGGTATTGACAAACAGTTTAATAGTAATTGAGTTTTAATTGTATTTTGTGTCACATTTTAGCCCAAAATCTATGCGAAGGACTCAATGGACAGATTCGGTGACGACTTGTGTGGACTCATACTGTCTTATCTCCCACTCAAACATCGGTTTCCATTGGAATGTGTGTCCAAACAGTTCCGGAGGAAAGTCTTCGAGAGTGTTGTGAACATCAAAATCAGAAACCAATTGTTTGGACTGAAAGGCAATACAAGCGCTGATATCATAGGAGTGTTGGAAAGAGTGGCCGAAAAGTGTCCAAACATTCAATTCATTGATTTTCAGAGCCGTAAGGGAAGCGACGCTTTGCATATGTTTCCCACAATTAGCCACAAATTCCCGCATTTGAGGGAAATTTACAGCGGATTGAGTGAAAACAGCGACCAATGGTTACCAGTGTTGGCACCGCTGATCACACGAGACCAGTGCAACGTTTACTCAGTCGATCATTGCCACCGATTGTCTCATTTAGAAACGGCTTTATTGAACTATGTCTTCGACAGCACTTCCGATGAACTATTGGTGAAGAATTTACAACACTTTAAGTTCAT